AGGATGGGGAGTCATCCTAAAGCGCAAGAAAAACAAATATTCTTCTAAGATAGAAGAACAAATTTGTAGGTATGCTTCTGGAAAATACACTGCTAAACCCCAGGTGTACCAAACCAGCACTGACTATGAAGTCAATGCTATCATACATGCATTAGATGCTTTTAAACTATTTCTGATAGATAAGTCAGAAATAACCATTAGAATCGATTGTGAAGCAATTGTTTCTTATGGTAAAAACCAGATTCATAAAGATAAAAAGCCTCACAGAAGATGGCTTTTATTCAAGGATTATATGAATTCTGGAAAGATCATAAACTTTGAACATATTAAAGGTTCTGATAATATGTTCGCTGACATCCTTTCCAGGTATGTCACTACAAAGGACTCTGACAAGTCCTCTAAAAACCAAGACTATGGATAATAACTTGGTAGTACAAAATGACCCTAAGATTCCCCCTGGATATGGGTTTTTACACAGACCATTAAGATTTGGTGAGACATGTCCTCATCCAGTCATAATGATCACAAAACACATAAAAGGGCTAAAAAGAAGATTAGACAAAATACATCTAATTAAAGATGAACTCAACCCTCATAATTTTGCTTATGAGGTTGCCTTTTGTAAGGCTCACATAAAAACTCTAGAACAAGGACTAGAGAAAATAAATCATTTTGTTGCTTGATATAATCTATTTTCTGATTGTTTTTCAGGAACAAAAGACCATTGATGGGCTCTACAAGTTTTAGATAACTTGTTTACTAATGTTTCTTTTGCAGGAACAAGAAATCCAATGATGGATTCTACACACAAAGGGAAAGGGCCTTTAGGTCCGAAACCCACAAAATCCCCATTTATGGTGGAAAAATACATGAAGTATGGGAAACAAGAGTTACCCATACTTACAAATTCCTACCAGTTTCCTGGTAGGGAATCTACAAATGTCAAATTAAATGTTTTAATTGATAACATTTGGAATATTCCAAAATACACAGCTCAGAATGAACAACAAGTTGCTAAAATGAAGCAAAGCATTATTAGCGCATTATACAGTTTCTGCAATGCAGATAACAAGGAAGTTAGGTTGACTTCCGCAACTTCTCCTTCTGGTAAGGGGTTTACACATTATGCCCTAGTTACGGGGCCAAACAAAGGAGTTTATACTTCATACAAAGACCTCTCTGAGGCCAAACAAGACCAGTTTTGGTCTAATTACAAAGGTTTTTATTCCAAGGAAGAAGCCCAGATGGCTTTGAAATTGGAAACCATAAATGAAGAAAAAATAAAAACGGCCCTTTTGCTTGAACCAAAGGCCCAAACACAAACCTATGCAGGAGCCTGTTGCCTTCCTACCCAGGTTAACCCAAACATCTTTTTAGCCAAGTTTGGGGTGATACAAGAATTTCTGTTTGAAGTTCACTCCGAAGCCCAAAATCCCCATGGGCTTACTGTCAAAACACAGACCTACTTTAACACTAGGAACCCTTGTTTAGGATCCTCGGAATACTGTAAAACAGTATCCACAAAATGTACATGTCAGTTAAAGTTTGTCATCCGAAGGGCACAAATTGATTTGTCTACCTTCAAAAACCAACTATACCGAGAGCTTCTGATAAGCCCTCAACTTCTGTTAGAAGCAGGATGTCTCCAAGATATTACCATCCCTCCTACAGAAAGATTTCATTCATTAACCCCAGAAATAAACTCTGTAGTAAATGAAATACAAGTTGAGCATATGATGAGTGTGCTCTTAAAAATTACTTCTTCCCCAAGAAGTCCTAATTCCCTTGAGAGCATGGCAAAACATGTTGTTAAGTTGTACACTGAGGTAAATCCTGAGATGCGTACCTCAATAGAGCAAGATCCTTTTCAGGGACTTACTCTAAAAAAAGATAAGCTTTACCAATATCAGCTTTGGAAAGCTTATGTAGAAGGATCTAACTGGAATTTCTCTAAAAAGGATATTTCGATTTTATTCTTCTCAAAGAAACTGCCGATACCAAGCTTTATTGGAAACGACTTATGGGAAACAAGTTTCATCCTTTCCCAATTGAAGTCGGTCCTATTCCGGTAGAACACTTTAAAAGAGAAAGGATTCTCAAAGAAATTTATGAAGAAACTGGAATCCATGGACAAGGAACCCCAGGAGCTTCATTTCCCTCGATGATGAGGAAGTAAACTTCATTGACCAAATGGTTGAAGAAGGACTTGAAGACATGTCTTCCGTGTCGGTTTCAAGAAGACATTCTTAAAATTTCAAATGGCGGAACCGTACAATTCCCGCCTCACCAATAGAGTCTTTCTCGATAAAGACGACTTTGCCCTTGAAGGTTTCGAGGAGCTTCTCATGACGTAAGCCCTTACGTCATAAACGGCTGTATCAAAAGACGACAAAGGTTAATGGCAGATAATGATATCTTGCTACCTTGTCACGATTCCTCTTCCGTTACATGTTGTTAGGCCCATTAAGCCTTGCATGTTAATGACGGTAAGATTGAATCAGTCTTTTGATAAAATGTAAAAAAAAAAAAAATTTGATTGAATGTCACTATTTTTGTCTTTTAGTGACGTTACTATTTTTGTTTTTGTTTTTAGTGAGGAAGTTTCCTCCGTAGGATTACTTCTTTGCTAAGTTTTGAGACCCATTAGTCATAAAGTGGGTCCCACATATAAATTACTATTCATTAGTTTAATATTTTTGTTTTTCTATATAAGGCTTCGTAAGTCCCTTATGCTGGGCAGAAGACTGCAGAATACTCTCTCCTCTCTCTCCTCTCCTCCTTCTCTCTACTTCTTATGTAAATTTCTTACTATCAATAAGAGAAGTTATTCAGCATCTCCCCTCTCCTTCTCCTTCTCTTCCCCCCAAGTAAGTGTTCTCTGCTCCCCCTTTATGGAGTAGTTTTCTTATAAGGGCGTCCTCGGATGCCTTAAGCTTTATTTATTTAAAGATGCGATAATCATTTAAAGGCTTACATAAATTTTTGTACAGCTTTATTTTGTGTTCATATAAGCTTATGAGGAGATGTCTAACCGGCTATGCCAGATTCAGTCATCTCATAATCTTATCATGGACTTGTGTGTTTATTTTTCCTGTCTTTACTTTTCTGCATTTAATTTCGTTCATGTAAGCTTATGAGGAGATGTCTAACCGGCTATGCCAGATTCAGTCATCTCATAATCTTATGGTGAACATTTTTCTTGCTATAACCGACTTTATCTCGGACAGTCTTCATTTTAGCTAGCCCGGTTTCGGGTTCTCTGTGAGCTAAGTAGCCACGTTGACCGACAGAAGAGATAAAGAGTTATAACATGTTTTAATTTATTTGTTTTCCAGTCTCTTTACTTTCCTCCTTTCCATCCCCCTTTCGGGTCTCAGGGCAGTTTATTCTGGGTTCATTCCCGGTTTTCTCTGTTCTGTCTACCCTCTGGTATCTGAGCGCGCTCATCCTTTGGTATCAAAGCGAGGACGCGCACTCGATTCCTGCCGAGGACGGAATTGGGGCAGCGGGTGGTAAGTCCCCACGAGATTCCCGAAGAGCGGGGGAATCAGAGTCGCGGAATCATGGTGGGATCGAGGGTTTAAGTATCGTGGTGTGAACCCTTACTAACAACTATAGTTATTGGCTAAGTGGCTAACGCTGCACACTCATCCTTTGGTATCAGAGCGAGGACGCGCACTCGATTCCTGCCGAAGATGGAATTGAGGCAGCGGGTGGTAAGTCCCCACGAGATTCCCGAAGAGCGGGGGAATCAGAGTCGCGGAATCGTGGTGGGACCGAGGGTTTAAGTATCGTGGTGTGCGCGCTCATCCTTTTTGAATATTTAATATTTGTAAGTTTAATATTTAATAATTAATAAATTTAACATTTTATTTTAAGTTTCTTGTAATATATACATATATATATATATATATATATATATATATATATATTAAATTTTGGAACTAAGTCTCACATTATATTAGGTGTTGAAAAATAATATACAGTAAATGTTTTTTATCACATAAAAATATATAAGATATTATGATAAAAAAGTTAAGAAACTAAAATAAAAAGTATAAAAATATTTAAAGAAGGAGTTAAAAGAGTTAAAATAGTAATAGGAGCGAAATATAAATAATTATTTATAAACTTAAATATAATTATTATAATTTATTAAGTATGAAATTAAAAAATATTGGATACTAAAGAAATTCGGTCATTCTTCATGACCTTGAAATTTATTTAAGATTTTTAAATAAAATATATCTATGTTAATAATATTAATAAAAAAAAAGTTTGTAATATTTTTAATTTTACGACATAACTAAAAAAATTTCGGACAAAAGTATATAATGGAAATAAGTAATTTTACTTTTAATTTTGGGTTCAACAAATACATATTATGAGTACATTTTTTTTGTATATTATGAACCTAAATTAGAAATCGTTAAAATCAAATAATTATCTTAAGGAGAAAATCTACTAACAATAACAATGTTGGACACATGCTTTATATATTCCCTTTATTATTTAAAATCTATTAAAGATCCAATAAGTTTGCAAATTCCACATTTTATTTTATTTTTTCAGTAAATTTTCAATCAATTTGCAGTCCTCACATCTAACGTTTATTCTTCTTTTCTGATTTTTTATATTATTATAATTGAATTACAACGTATAAAACATTTATATAATGAATCCATATAAAAAATAAAAACAAAAATCAAATATTAATCATTTTCATATTTAAAAAATTCAGTGCTTTCCCATTTTGTTTATTGCTGAGACATGAATGAAGGAAAAAAACGAAACGAAAGTAAAGGAGCCGTCTTCTTCTTCGTCATCTTCATTTTCATCATCATCTACTGAACTGAACTTGGAACTGTGTGTCTTTGTGTGTGCGCGTCACCGTTACCATGTTATTCAACTCTTGATGAACGCTATTTTGACTCTCCAATTTCTCAGCAACCAAATTCAATTAATCGCTGAACTCAAACCTAAGCGACAACTATTCGGGAATGGCGGTTTCCGAAGAGGAATGCTCTTCGGCGAAGTCCGGTCCCTCTTCGTCTTCCTCCGCCTCGCGCTACTATCTCTCCAAATGCGTCCTCAGAGGAAGCGTCGTTCTTCAGGTCCTCCACGCTCACATCCGTTCTCCCTCCTCAAATGACATCGTTTTCGGCAAGGTGGCTTCTTCTCTTCCTTTTCCCTTTTTTTTTTATCTTCGTTTTGCACATTATCGATAATCTAGCTTATTGTATGTTGCCACTACATGCTGCAGTGTGGAGTAGGTCTTTTATTTCACGTAATTAACTGACATGGACTGAGCTAAGCTATATGTTTCTCTTGTTACATTGATTTGATTGGGATTGGGATTGGGATGATATGTTGTGTTGCTCCTGTTATCTGTGATTACAGGAGACGTCTATTGAATTGGTGGTTATTGAGGAGGATGGGAATGTACAATCTGTATGTGATCAGCCTGTCTTTGGCACCATCAAAGATCTTGCCATATTGTCTTGGAACGAAAAATTTCGTGCACGTGATCCTCAGGTGTGTTTCTCGTTTTGCTACACTGGCTAACTGTGGTCTGTTTGTAAGGAGACCACTGTATCCTCTTGTTTTGATTGGATAAAATTTGTTGTTGTGAGTGGATCTTTTATATGTCAAAGTCGGGTTTATTTTCTCCTTTTTATTTGGTTATCTAGCTGTGGGGTAAAGACCTTTTGGTTGCTACATCTGATTCTGGGAAGTTGTCGCTGCTCACATTTTGCAATGAAATGCACAGGTTTGTTTGCACTGCTTTGTCTATTCTCTTTTCATTGGATTGGTATAAGATGTTATGGAGGAGTGTTTCCAGTTTTGGTTCATTGGTGCATGTTTCGAACATCATAACTGTTCATTAGAAGTCAGGAACTGCATTTAGTGGAAAAATAATGGGTTAAATAAGATTTTGGTACCCCCAAAATTAAACCATATTGAAATTTGTATCTCCAAAAAGAGGTTCATTGTTTTTAATACCCAATATTTAATAAATATGCAAATTTAGTCCTGACAATAACTTAATTACTCTTGAATTAACAATGTTGATATGTAATCATCCTGACATTTGTACGTATGCTAACATTTGACACTGTCAAAATTAGCATGTCAACATCATTAATTCATAGTAATAGAATAATTATCAAGAGCAAATTTCCATATTTATTACATGTTGGGTATCAAAAACACTTGAAAAATTTCGGAGTACCAATTTTAATACGGACCAATGTTGGAGGTACCAAAAACTTATTTAACTAAGCAATAATTAACTTATTTGGTTTTTTAATTTATTTATGCATCTATGTAGGTTTGTTTCTGTAACACATGTACAGATTTCTAATCCTGGAAACCCAATGGATCTTCCTGGAAGAAAGCTAGCGGTTGATTCCAGGTGATGTTTCTGGTCACGAAAATCTCCGAAAGCATCTATTTTGTCTTTCTTATTATCTCTTAGTTTTGTGTTCTGGTTCCATTCTGTGAGCATATATTAGTCGCTTCACATATTGCAAACAATAGGGAAGTCTTCATAATTGCTCTACATAAACTTCTAGGTCAACTGCACAAGCTACTTTGGTTGATAATAAACAGGTAACATGGCTGATTGGATCTCCAGATGGTCTCCTCCATATTTTTAAATCTACTTTTACAATCATATTTAAGTACTTCAAAAATGTGTGGTCACCCGAGTTAAATGGCTCATTTTGGGTAGAAGAACAAAACCTGAAACTTCCCTTATTCCTGATTTTCTCATCCCTTAGGCTGGTCCTACTGACTTTTGATCACCCTTGCTAGATTCATTGTTTGTGAACGAGACAGAGGACCCAAAGCACCGATGTTATGCACTCTGCAGCAGATATCCTCCGTCAGTTCATGAATGAAATACCCAAAATATTGGTAGTTGGGAAAGCACTATACCTGGGCTGTTAACTGTTCAAACTCCTATATGCACTCATCTCATCTACACTCCCTACTTGTTGAAGAGCTTTCATTGTGCATCTATCCATGTCTCAAGCAATTCACATTTGAGTTGTTCCTAAGTCATATTAGGCTTCTTTGCAACTGTGGATCCTTCCTTATACAGTCATGCAAGGTTCACTTGAGCATTTGGACCCTTCTTCATCACTCTTGAGTAAACTTCAGCTTGAGCCATCCTACCAATTGAATCTTCTCCATTGAACTATAAGTGTGAAACTATAAGCAGACAATAAAGTGACAAATTATTGTTGAAACTTAGATTCTTCACTTCCATTCTTCACTTCCATTAACCATTTTTAAACATTTGACTTCATATGTTTTGTTCATATTGTTTGAGCTTTCACATCATTTATAGGTGTGGCCAAATAGAGTATATAGAGTCCAAACTTCACTTCATAAGTCAATTTTGTAGGATTGAGGTAAGTCTAATCCTAAATTCTCATGTAGTATCAAAATTTATCCTTACCAGGTTTGATGGGCTTATTCGCCAGTCACTGTTAGACCATTTACAAATATCCAGTCCTGCAAGCTTAATGCTTGAGATATCTAGATCTCGGCGTGAGAAGGGTGTGTTAGAGATTCTCCATTGTTTAGAAATATAGTTAAAGTATATTTATGTGAAGTGCAAATATCATTTTACAAACCTATTTTCTAAGGTTAAGCTAGGCCTAATCCTAAATTCTAATACATAGTATTAAGCATTATACAATGCACCAGTGGATTAAATTTAAATCCTTCAAATAAAACAATCCCTAATGCTAGTGAATTAATTTAATTCACTATCAGTTAACTACTCATTGGTGCCATGTGTTGTTAAGCTATTAGGTGAAGGCTTATGAATGATTATGTCTAGCATGGCCCTTCATAGAAGACTCCTTTGCGCTTGAAGCATGGACATTGCTTGGATCCACCTTGTGTTGGCAACTTTTATTTAAAAGTTTTGAAGCATCAAGGTTGAACTTTTAAGCACATGGTTAAAGAGGTTTGATACCATGTCAAGGTCCTACTCATCTAAAAGCTTAAGCTGTTGGATGAAGGCTCATAAATAGTTTTTATATTTAACAATGTTAAATTAGGGAAATGAAAAAAACACGGTAGGCTTTCTGGTGAATATTTCTAACTCATGTGGTTCTCTTTCTGCAGTGGTTGTTTTATCGCTTCTAGTGCATACGAAGATCGGCTGGCTTTGTTTTCTATGTCAATGGCCAGTGGTGATATCATTGATGAGGTTCAAACTTACTATTATACCATCCTCTAATTATGAAAAGCTGCATGTTTTGGAGTGTGTGTTAGCAAAATGCATATATTAATATGATAGAGGACTGCTTTTTATAGTGGTATAGGCTATATATGGTAGCCAACTACTAGACATACATTTAGGGTATGATTTTTGGTGGATCTTTGAAGAGATTGAATGGAAGGATCTAATGTATTGGTTTCCTTCACTAACCTTTTGTTTCTTTCTCTTTTTATATTGTAACAGTATATATTGTTATCATATTTGTATTTTCTAATTTTGATAATTTGATTTTGTCTGAAGAAATATGCTTATGTGATCTTCTTTTATTAACTCCAGAGAATTGTATATCCTTCTGAAAGTGAAGGGACTCCAAGTTCTTCCAGAAGCATCCATAGAACCAGTATACGTGGTACTATTTGGAGCATCTGCTTCATTTCACAAGATTCCAGACAACCAAGCAAGGAGCATAATCCTGTACTAGCTGTTATTATAAATAGGTATATGATACAATGTTTCCCACTGTCAGGAGTTTATCCTGTCTTGAATACATCTCTATAATGAAAGTTATCTTCTGTTCTGCTGTCTTTTTTTGTGAAGATGTGTACTTACTGAAACCATGCAATTTTTTTGCCCTACAGGAGAGGATCACTTCAAAATGAATTGCTATTGTTGGAATGGAATGTTAAAGCACACAAAATATTTGTTATTTCTCAGTATGCTGAAGCTGGGCCTCTAGCATATGACATTGTTGAAGTTCCTAATGCTGGGGGACTTGCATTTCTATTCAGGACTGGTGATGTTCTCTTAATGGACCTTAGAGATCGTCGCAACCCATCCTGTGTCTATAAGACTAACTTGAACATTCTACCAAATGCTTTGGAAGAACAGACTTATGTGGATGACTCTTGTAAATTACACGATGTTGATGATGAACGCTTTAATGTTGCTGCCTGTGCTTTGTTGGAGCTGAGTGATTATGATCCTATGTGCATAGACAGTGACAATGGTGGTGCTAATTCAGGTTACAAATATGTATGCTCGTGGAGTTGGGAACCTGAAAATAATAGAGATCCTAGGATGATCTTCTGTGTAGATACTGGGGAATTTTTTATGATTGAAGTTATTTTTGATTCTGAAGGCCCTAAAGTTAATCTGTCAGAGTGTCTCTATAAAGGTCTACCCTGTAAAGCACTTTTGTGGGTTGAAGGTGGATATGTAGCTGCCCTTGTGGAAATGGGGGATGGTGTGGTCCTGAAATTGGTAGATGGAAGGCTATGCTATACAAACCCTATTCAAAACATTGCCCCAATCTTGGATATGGCAGTGGTGGATTATCGTGATGAGAAACATGGTCAAATGTTTGCTTGCTGCGGTGTGGCTCCAGAGGGGTCATTAAGGATAATTCGAAATGGTATTAATGTGGAAAGTCTACACAGGACTGCTTCTATATATCAAGGTATAACTGGTACTTGGACTGTCCGAATGAAAGTTACTGATTTACATCATTCTTTTCTAGTTCTATCATTTGTTGAGGAAACCAGAATATTGTCAGTTGGCTTAAGTTTTACTGATGTGACTGATTCAGTTGGTTTCCAACCTAATGTCTGTACTTTGGCATGTGGCCTTGTGACTGATGGTTTACTCGTTCAGATCCACCAATCTACTGTTAAGCTTTGTTTGCCCACTAAGGCTGCTCATTCTGAAGGTATCTCATTGTCCTCTCCTATTTGCACATCTTGGTCTCCAGACAATGTGAGCATCAGTTTGGGGGCAGTTGGGCATAATTTCATAGTTGTGTCAACCTCTAACCCATGCTTTCTGTTTATCCTTGGGGTTAGATTACTATCAGCTTATCAATATGAAATTTATGAAATGCAACATTTGGTACTTCAGAATGAATTATCATGCATTTCCATCCCTGGACAAGAAATTGAGCAAAAACCATCGAATTCGTCCATTTCAGCAAATAATAGTAACATCTCTTTCCAAAGTGGAGTGGACATTAATAAAACCTTTGTTATCGGTACACACAGACCTTCTGTGGAAATTTGGTTTTTTGAACCTGGTGGAGGAATTACAGTAGTTGCTTGTGGGACAATTTCATTAACAAATACAATAGGGACTGCCATAAGTGGTTGTGTACCTCAAGATGTACGGCTTGTATTTGTTGATAAGTATTATGTTCTTGCTGGGTTGAGGAATGGAATGCTCCTTCGCTTTGAGTGGCCAGTGGAACCGTGTCCTTCATCATCAATAAATATGGTGGATACTGCTTTATCTTCTATAAATTTGGTAAATTCTGTGGCTAATGCTTTTGACAAGAGAAATGACCTTCCTTCAATGCTTCAATTGATTGCCATTCGACGCATTGGCATTACTCCAGTTTTCTTGGTGCCACTGGGTGACACACTGGATGCTGATATAATTGCTCTCAGTGATAGGCCTTGGTTGTTGCATAGTGCCAGACATAGCCTTTCCTATACTTCTATATCATTTCAACCATCTACGCATGTAACTCCTGTTTGCTCGGTTGAGTGTCCAAAAGGAATATTATTTGTCGCAGAGAACAGTTTACATCTGGTAAGAAAATCATACCACAGCATCCTTTGCTGGCATATTTCTTTATTCCTTTATTATTTGGTTGCACTTTCTTTTGTAACTCAAAGTGCATTGAAGATACTTGTAGATGATATATTTGAATGCACAGAAAAATCTGTAGATATATTATGTGTTTTGCTTACTATCAATTTTTAAACTTGAGTGGTGGTTAGATTTTCTCATTTCATTTTGTACATAATTTTGCTGGCCCTGTTTCTTAATGGTGTCTAATATGTTATTGTTCCTAATTTTTGGGTTAGGGGGATAATGTCACACCCTTGAGGATCTCCTTCAGTGCATGTATACAGGAGGAGGTTTGAAATGGAAATGGGTGACTCTTACAATAACTTTGGGGAGTTTAAAGTAGTAACAAAATTATGAATTAATGATTAGGGAAAGACAAATGAGGAATTAGTCGTGCAGATCTACAGCTGGAAAATGGGAGAGTGGAGAGAAATGGTTGGGGAAGATTTGCAAGAGAGGAAAAAGGATATGAGAAATGGGTGGGGGCTGAGGGAAGGTAATTATTACATAAAAAAGTCGTAGTTCATTCAATAATTTATATAACACTTTTTCTTTCTATCTCCATTGCATCACCCATAGCAGAATTTCTCTTTTCTGTCATTCTCGTTTTTGTAAAATTAGATATACAAATAACATTATCCAATGTGAAATTATGAGAAGTTTTGGATGGTGGTATTTCCTGTTTTGAATTCCCGTAGATTACACACTCAATACAAAATGAGAAACATATAGTTTTTTGGTCATATGAGTGACTTCTCTTCCCTATTTTGCCAGCTGTGCTCACCAAGAAATAACTACTGTTTTCATTTCATGTTTTATGCTTTGTGTAGTTCTTATCTGCGTTGCTATCTTGACTTTTACTGTATTTCTCACTTTATGCTTTAGGTGGAGATGGTTCACAGCAAGAGACTTAATATGCAGAAGTTTCATTTAGATGGAACTCCACGGAAAGTCCTGTATCATGATGAAAGCAAGATGTTGCTTGTGATGAGGACTGAACTGAATTGTGGTACATGTTTGTCTGACATATGCTGTGTGGATCCCCTTAGTGGGTCGGTACTGTCGTCTTTTAGACTTGAACTTGGAGAAACAGGAAAATCCATGGAATTAGTAAGAGTTGGAGGTGAGCAAGTGCTTGTTGTTGGAACTAGCCTGTCTTCGGGTCCAGCTGTAATGCCCAGTGGTGAAGCTGAAAGGTATGATATTTAGGTTACCTTGTATTTTTATTTTCCTTCTTGTTTTATAACACAAGCTAATTGATAGGAATTTCTTTCCATTTTACTATCAAATTGTGAAATTGATAGCCTACCTATTTTCTTTGAACTGCACATGGCTTTTTTGACTTAAATGAGCGAACCTGCTGGTGAGCTTCTTGCAAGTTTCTTCTCAAGGAGTGTACACATCTCAACGCACCAAAAGAAGAGTTTGATTCATGCTTCAGTGACAGCTGAGTCCCACAAGTGTGCAATATTGCAATGTTTATGCTAAAAAATAAAGATACCCAGAATAATTTATTAATGAAGCTTCATGTAATAATCAGTAAATGCCAGCTCCATTACATGCCTTATTGCCCTTACATCAATCAGTATGAGAACTAAGTTAAAATTTTTGTAATTTCTCATTAAAGTCTCATTGTAAATTTTCTTAAAGAGGGACACTGTCTTCTGAACGGTCATTCTCCTTTCCAGACGGATTGAAACAGGTGGACCCCTGGAATATTTATGTGGAAGAATGAGACAGTTTTCTGAATATGCGAGCCTGAATGTATTTTGCACTCAGCAGAATGGTCTATTTATGTTTACAAAGATAATTAATGCCCAAACAATTTACAAGAGAGAAATTAAGATACTAATACTTCTCAAGATGCATTGAACCTATTAGCTATACCAAGTATGTAGGCTCAATGTAAAAATCTGTGAGAGGGGAAGGGTCTGGTCAGAATGTCTGCATTCTTCTGATTAAGAGCTGGAGTATGCTGAACCAATTAGCTTTTGTCTAGTATTTTCTCCATGAGAAAGAAAATATCAAGTTCCATGAGTTTAGTTTTTACATGAAGAACAGGACTGTAGGACAGTAAAACAGTGCTTATACTACTTTGATTACCCTGTATTGCTTATATGGTGGTGAATGCTTAATATGTTCATACTGTTCTTGAAACTAGTGCACTTCACATTGATTACCATATTCTAATTGGTTGTTTCTTTGGTAGTTGCAAGGGTCGTCTTCTTGTTCTCTGTCTTGATCATGTGCAAAATTCAGATAGTGGTTCAATGACATTCTGTTCAAAGGCAGGGTCATCATCTAAAAGAACTTCACCGTTCCATGAAATTGTTACACATGCTCCTGAACAGTTATCAAGCAGTAGCCTTGGCAGCAGTCCTGATGATAATAGTTCTGATGGCATCAAACTTGATGAAAACGAAGTATGGCAGTTCCGACTGGCTTATGAAACGAAATGGCAGGGAGTTGTTTTTAAAATCTGTCCATATCTTGATCGTTACTTTTTGGCATCCGCTGGCAATGCTGTAAGTAGCAAATCTCTTACCTTTTCTCCATTCATTCTGTCACTTGCCCATCATTTCCCAAATTATCCTGAATCAGAAGGTTTTGTATCTATCATCCACATTTGGTTTACACAGTCTTCTCATTATGTTACTTTCTTGCTATTCAGTTCTATGTTTGTGGTTTCCCTAATGACAATCCTCAAAAAGTGAGAAGGTATGCTATGGGAAGGACGCACCACATGATAACATCTTTAAGTGCACATTTTACAAGAATTGCAGTTGGTGATTGTCGTGATGGTATCATTTTATTTTCTTATCATGAGGTGAGTGCTGATGGCTGCTGTCTCTAGTGCATTTATTTTCCAAACTAAAAATTGTAGTTATCTTTTGTACTCCTTTCCTTCTAAATAACTTTGTAGTTTTTTGCTTCTTATCTCTCTTCATTTCCTTTTGTATTAAAGTTATATTATGATTTAGGTGCAAAAAGGGAAGCACTCATTGGCATGCATTGCCTGTTTTGAGTTATTAACCTGCTTTCTTTTTTGGATTTTTAGTCTTGATTTCTTTAGTTTTTGAGGATCCCTTATCTTCTTTCATTTCTATCTTCCTCTTCCATATTAAGAAAATCTTTGATAACAAAAATAAGTTATATTGTATGTTTAATTTTTTATGCCCCATAGATTAAGACCTCCTTGTGTATTGATAGTTTGTTATTTTTATAAAGTTTTTGCATTTAGAAAAGCTAGTGCTGCTGAACTTGTTTAGTTTATATCTTCTGTGCTAGGAAGCAAGAAAATTGGAGCAACTTTGTTGTGATCCATCACGAAGGTTAGTTGCTGATTGCATCCTGATGGATGCTGATACTGCTGTAGTTTCGGATCGTAAAGGAGGCATTGCTATTTTATGTTCAGATCATTTGGAAGGTATGCTTGAACTAAGCCTTTCTCTTTTGTAATTTTATTTTAGGTTTTACTTTGTCTTTGAAATTTTATTTTCTTTGGAACCTAGGTTTTCAAAATAAAAAATATAATGTTTTGCAAGTTGCTCAAAAAGTCCAAAAGTTTCATATAGTTTAAGAATTGATGTTAAAGATAAATTATATATACCTTCATCTTTTAACCCAAAATAATTATTTTTAAAGACAAAGCATTATGGAAACATCGAGCTTCAAAACGAACAATATATCATATGTGATAATTGATCTTATGGACTTGAGGTCAAAATATTAACACCAAGAAGGGTGGCAAGCTAGTCTACCCCTTAGCTCTTGATTGAGGGATTTGTTTCAGTATGCCCAAAAACTTGATATCGTATAGGAGATGAGTCCACAAGTAGCTTATATATACTGCCTTCCTTTAATCCTTCAGACAGTACAAAATCTAGATGGAAGCATCAAGCTCTAAAATGAAAAATATTATGCAGTGATTGACTCTATTAATGTTATCTCATCGTACACGAGATCTGTTTAAATAAAAGAGAGAAAGACTAGGTTGAATCCTTAGGTATATTGAGCACATAGGGTTATGCATTTATAAATAGGAATATACAAGGAGATAGGCCTAATTATTTAGGATTTGATATAGTGATTAAACGCATTGATACATTATATTTGTAGAAAAAGAGATACAATAGAGAAGATATGGGTCTCAGTCCAATCCCTTAACTCTAGTCTAAGGAACATACAAAAAGATATATGAACAACAGATCTCAACACTCCCCCTCAAGCTAGACAATATAGATTATATGCACCAAGCTTAGAACAAATGAATTGAATCCTAGGTCCTTTTAAGGATTTAGTTAAAATATCTGTCAGTTGCTCATTGGAGCTTACAAATTCAGTTACAAGTTTCTTAGACAACAACTTCTCTCTAACAAAATGACAATCAATCTCAATATGTTTTGTTCTTTCATGAAAGACTGGGTTGGAGGCAATATGGAAAGCTGCCTAATTATGACACAATAACTTCATCTGGCCAATATCACAATTTTAAATCTTGAAGGAGTTGTTTGAACCACACAAGTTCACATGTAGCAAATATCATAAATCTATACTTAGCTTCTGCACTAGATCGAGCTACAACACTTTGCTTTTTACTCTTCCAAGCAATCAAATTTCCTCCAATAGAGATACAAAATCCAGTAGTCGATCTTCTATCAATGGGACAACTAACTCAATCTACATCACAATAACCTAGAATTTGAGTATTACCTTTATCTTCATATAACAATCCTTGTCCTGGGCCCCCTTTAACATATCTCAGAATGCAAATCAAGGCATCCTAGTGATCAACACAAGGATTTTGCATGAATTGGCTAACTACTCCAACTACATAAGAAAGATCCGGTCTAGTAATAGTAAGATAAATGAGTTTACCAACCAACCTCCTATATCTTTCTGGATTTGACAACTTTTCTCGTTCATCCTTCATCAATTTCTGGTTAGGGTCCATTGGGGTATCAATGGATTTACAATTTGTTAGACCAATCTCTTCAGAATATCAAGAGAATACTTCCTTTGAGAATGATCACAACTTCCTTTGACTGGACTATTTCAATACTAAGAAAATATTTCAATTGATTAAGATCTTTGGTTTGGAAGTAAGCAAACAGATGATTCTTCAGTTGACTGATCTTAGTATAACCATTGTCTGTAATAACAATACCATCAACATAAACCATAAGATACACACACTTTCCTAAAGAGAAATGACAATAAAACATTGAGTGGTCTACTTCACTCCTTTTCATGCCAAACAACTACACAACTTGACTGAATTTTCCAAACCAAGCTCGGGGTGACTACTTCAAGCCATAAAGAGATCGGTGTAGCTTACACACACTAAACTAGACTCCCCCTGAGCAATAAAATCAGGTTGCTCCATATAAATCTCTTCCTCAAGATCACGGTGAAGAAATGCATTTTTAATGTCCAGTTGGTGAGGGGCCAATGACGAATAACAGTCATAGTAAGGAACAGACTACTGGATAGAAGGTATCACATTAGTCAAGACCATAAATTTGAGCGAAGCCTTTAGCTACTAAACGAGCTTTGAGACTATCCACTTTATCATTATTATCAACTTTAATAGCATAGACCCATTTACAACCCATAATCTTTTTGCCAGGAAGAAAGGGACAAACTCCCAAGTGCCATTATGCTCAAGGGCCTACATTTCATCAATCATGACTTGTCGCCATCCAGGGTGATCAAGTGCCTCATAAACATTATTAGGAATAGACGTATTGGTCAAAGAGACAACAAAAGAAGAATATGAAAGAGACAGACGATGGTAACTTAAAAAAATTATAAATAGGAAAGGGATTTCGAGTGGAACAAGTACCTTTTCTAAGTGCAATAGGCTATCCAGAATCAGAAGTTGGAGATAAGGTTGAATGATCTATGGTATGAGAAACTGATGGAGACGGATCTGAATCACAATTATCTGTAGGAACTGGTAAAGGTGTAGGAGGGGTCCTGCAGTAATATGTGAGAAGAGGAAGAGTATCATTATGGCCTGTAGATTGAATTAGGGAAGGATCAGGCATTATAAGTGGATCACATGAATGTATAGGCAAAACTTGTTGAATTGATGAATCATCTTCCATGGAAAAAGAAAAAAAGGGTGTTTCCTCAAAGAAGTTGACATCAACATACGTATAATACCTTTTGGAAGATGAAAAATAACATTTATACCCTTTCTGCAGGTGAGAATACCCCAAGAAAACACATTTAATGGCCTTAGCACTTAGTTTATCAAGACCTGGAGACACATTATAAACAAAAAGAAAATATTTCAATTGACCAAGATCTTTGGTTTGGAAGTAAGCAAACAAATGATTCTTCAGTTGACGGATCTTAGCAAAACCATTGTCTGTACTAACAATACCATCAACATAAACCATAAGATACACATACTTTCCTGAAGAGAAATGACAATAAAACATTGAGTGGTCTGTTTCACTCCTTTTCATGCCAAACAACTGCACAACTTGACTGAATTTTCCAAACCAAGCTCAGGGTGACGGCTTCAAGCCATAAAGAGATCGGTGTAGCTTACACACTAAACTAGACTCCCCCTAAGCAATAAAACCAGGTTGCTCCATATAAATTTCTTTCTCAAGATCACGGTGAAGAAATGCATTTTTAATATCCAGTTGGTGAGGGGCCAATGGCGAATAACAACCATAGTAAGGAACAGAAGAATAGTGAAAATTTTAGCTACTAAATAGAAGGTATCACATTAGTCAAGGCCATAAATTTGAGTGAAACTTTTAACTACTAAACAAGCTTTGAGACGATCCACTTTACCATTATTATCAATTTTAACTGCATAGATCCATTTACAACCCACAATCTTTTTGCCAGGAAGAAGAGGGACAAGCTCCCAAGTGCCATTGTGCTCAAGGGCCTATATTTCATCAATTATGACTTGTCACCATCAAGGGTGATCAAGTGCCTCATGAACATTATTAGGACTAGATGTATCAGTCAAAGAGACAACAAAAGAAGAATATGAAAGAGACAAATGATGGTAACTTAAAAAAATTATAAATAGGAAAGGGATTTCGAGTGGAGCAAATACCCTTTCTAAGTGCAATAGGCTAGTCAGAATCAAAAGTGGGAGATAAGGTCGAAGGATCTATGGTATGAGAAACTGATGGAGACGGATTTGAATCACAATTATCTGTAGAAACTGGTAAAGGTGTAGGAGGGGTCCTGCGGTAATATGTGAGAAGAGGAAGAGTATCATTATGGCCTGTAGACTGAATTAGGGAAGGATTAGGCATTATAAGTGGATCACATGAATGTATAAGCAAAACTTGTTGAATTGATGAATCATCTTCCATGGAAAAAGAAAAAAAAGGTGTTTCCTCAAAGAAGTTGACATCAGCAGACGTATAATACCTTTTGGAAGATGAAAAATAACATTTATACCCTTTCTGAAGGTGAGAGTACCCCAAGAAAACACATTTAATGACCTTAGTATTTAGTTTTGTTAGAAAAGGAGGTTGAGATCAAGAGGGGGGTGAATTGATCTTTGGAAGATTTTCGCAAATTACAGATTATCTATTTCAAAGATTAAGAGTTCTGACCAATTCTTGAACCAAACAGAACAAACAATCAAAATACAGGCAACAACAGAATTAAAGAGAGAAAGGTTTAGAAAGATACAACCAAGATTTATACTGGTTCACCCAATCCTAGGGCTACGTCCAGTTCCCAGCCAAATTCCAGCTGAGTTCCACTAAATTGAATGTTTTACAGATTACAATTCCAATCGCACACCCAATCTACCACAAGAACCAAAATTCCAGTTCTTGCACCTAAACCTTCACCAAGAACCAACTTCCAGTTCTTGAACAACCCTGCAGCCAAATTCCAGTCACAGAAACCAGTGTCCACACTTCTAGACACCCACAATATAGTAAAGAAAATTAAAGAAACAAAGAGAAGAAACTAGAACACTCAAACCCGGCTTATGCAGTTCTGCAGAATGTGTTTCTTCACCAAAAGAATGCAAAATTTGCCTCAAGAAAGAACTTCGAAAAACTTCACAAAACTTGTGTGATTCTTTCTTGAAAGTAACTCTGATGATTGCTTGATTGATTGCTCAAAGGTATATTTTAAAAGACTCAAGCAATCTAGTTTATATAGAAGATTTTTCAAACTGCTGGTTTAATTAATCTGTTAAAACAATCTTTTAATCTGTTAAAAGTCTTGAATTAATATGTTAAAACTTCTTTTAATCTGTTAAAATGTTCTTGATCATTTTCCAGATTTGTTTTAACTGATGCGACATCGTTTCAATCGATTAAAACACTTTGTAAAAAATCCCTTAAGTCGTTTTAATCGATTAATTCGACTTTTAATCGATTAAAATACTGTCAAATGTTTTCATAAAACTTTCTAAGTGATTTTAACTGATAACAATATGTTTTAATCGATTAAAACAC